GGACCATGATTGGGCATTGTTATTACGATATAGGGCAAGTAGATCTCGATTGATCAACATATATCTGCATTTGGCTGACTCTTAAAATTCAGGCAATTGCTAATTTTTATTTCAGATTAAGGTATTTGAAACTCTCCCTCACATTCATATTTTTTTGCTCCTGGGTAACCGAACTTTATCAGATGCGGCAATGGAGTGAGCCAAGTATTTGGAGAGATCAATTTCAAGTTGTATCCAGCTCAAACTCATCAAAATCTTCTATTTACTTTATTTTGTTCTCCTTCTGTTGGTTCATACTTTGTCTAAACATGTGGTAGAAGGTAGCTTGTAGCGGCAGAAATACAACTTCTAATGAGGAAAAGATACATGAATGCATTATTACCTTGAAAGTAGCAATGGCACAGCCTCAAATTCTCCTTCATTTATGCATATCTGATATTGTCACTGGATTTCCTATCTGATTTGCTCCATAACATACCAATAATTTTCTTTCTTACTCTAACCAGAAGCTTCAAATGTCTGTTAAAAGAATCTTGGAAGTAGCAATGGCATAGTTTAAAATTCTCCTTCATTTATGCATGCCTGATGTTGTCCAGGAATGCTTTCTATCTAATTTGTTCCATAACATACCAATAATTATCTATCTCACTATGACCACAAGCTTCGAAAGTGTTTCAGGCTCATGATTTTTTATGGCACCATCTATATCGTTTGCTTTTTGCAGTTGAACTAATTGACTTTGTAGCAGTAAATATATTCTGGGACCAGTCCCTGAATTACAGTTTAGGAGAAGTATGTAGGAAATTGAACACATTGAAATGACTTCAATAAAATGATTTTACCTCCTCGCTCCGGTGCATATCACATGATGTGTAGCCAGGAGACCATTAAAGACATAAGCATTCTAAAGTTTTGATATTTGGTGTTTAGTGAGGATTCCTATTTGCAGTTTTTTGCTAGTTTTGGCTTTCATTTAGGACTGCTAACTTCTGATTACAGATGAATTACTGGCATCAATTGTCGTTAAATGTTATTACGGATTTTGTTTCTGGGATAAGCATTTTCAGACAAGGAACCACACTTATGGCCTGTGATTTATTATGAGGATCTATCAGAATACATTTATATATATATTTCTTTCTGTTCTTTCAGGAAACGCCTGTTCAGTCTGATCAATGATCTGCCCACAGTCTTTGAAGTTGTGACTGAAAGGAAGCCTGTAAAAGACAAGGCAACTGCAGATAGTGGAAGCAGGTCTAGAGTTAACAAAAAGGTAGGGTAGGCTTGAACATACTGTGTCTCACTATATATATATAATTTTTCTGGATGCTGTTCTTTTTGTTCCTGAGGCAAACCTAAGGTTGGGTGAAGGCACAGGTGAAATTAATTTACATTTCACAAAAAAATATAGGTACTGATACTTCTTAAACATAGTTTTGGATGAAGCAGTGTATTTTTTGCCCCATGGCCTAAGGATTTCATATAGTTTTTGAGCTTGCCCATGATCACGATGTTTGATTGCTCTTAGACCTGCAATTGACTTAGCTCAATTCCCTTTTTCTTTATTTGCAGCGATCTAGTGATGGTCAGACGAAAAGCAACCCCAAACTGGCAGATGAAAGCTATGAGGAGGAGGACGATGAACATAGCGAAACACTATGTGGAAGTTGTGGTGGAAATTACGATGCAGACGAGTTCTGGATTGGCTGTGACATTTGTGAACAATGGTTCCATGGCAAATGTGTGAAGATAACTCCTGCTAAAGCGGAGAATATAAAGCAATACAAATGTCCTTCTTGCATGAAGCGAAACAGGCAGTAGTGATTGGTTACTAAATCGACTGAGGATTTGTAGTGTTCATTTGGTGGCTGACTAATTTAAATAGCGATATTATCTTTCTACTATTTGTAATGGACATCTCTTGTGATGTTTATAACAGTTGATTGCAGTATGGACAGAGTTCATCTCCTCAATTTCGTGCTTTATTCCTATGCTATTAAAGCTAATAAAAACGAATCCTTGATTTCTTGACATTTTCTAA